TCTCTCTCTCTCTCTCTCTCTCTCTCTCTCTCTCTCTCTCTCTCTCTCTCTCTCTCTCAACGCGATTGATTAATGATTAATAAAACTATTAATGAAACTATCATTATATTAGTAAAGCGCACAAATATCTCAGATATATCGTGAAGTAGGGAGAATAATTAATAGTTACCTGAATGTATCGCGACTCCGCTCTTTGCAAGTTCCGATTTCGTAAAAAAAACCGGTATGATTAGCCCTGCAAGAAGAGCCCGGGGTGAGAAAACGAGGATGGATCGGATCCGGAAGACGGAGATGAGTGCCGCGGACACTCACTTGCGTGTTAATTCGCAACCCGACATCACACTAAAGCTTGCCGATCGATCTCGCGCCGGCTACGTCTTCTAATCGGCTCGGACCTCAACGTTCCCGTTCATAGACCTCGCGCAGCGGATTGGTTGTCGATAAAAGCCTTTGGCGTCGACAAACTTTGACACTCGCCGCTTCTCCCGACCCCACCAAGTCGCGAAAGGCGCGAACGCGACCGTTCGTTCGCCATTTACGCACTACGGCCTTTAATCGTATGTATGTGTATGCGTGCGGGTAGGACCGACGGCGTGCTTTGACAGCGAGTCAGCTGACCAACCGAAGCTTGGTAGCATGACGCATGTGCTATAGAAACTTGTGTGTGCTAGATATACGGATTTATCATACATGCACAATTAGAATCAGACGAAACAGAATACGCATCTCTGATGATTCTTTAGAATAAAGTTAGGATACAGATTATTTGCAAAGAGCGATTATATCATTCAGGTCAACGATAAATTTGTTCTTTCTATATAGTGTCAGAAAAATTCTAATCATTGATGATATCAGAGAGAAACCTGAGAGAGGCCATGCCGGTTTTTTTCCTGTTACGGTTGAAATCGCCTATACACTACCGCCAGTACATCCATTTTCAATTTGAGAACTACGTGACTATAATATATACACTTTCCAACACTATCGATAAAATCGTATCGTCGAAAGTAGATGTGGTTCGTCTCTGTACTAAATCCTCAGGACAAAAGCGTGCCGACTATCCATTTCGCATCTCCTACCATGTAAATAAAAATTGTTGAATTTTAATAAACGAAATTGAAAATTCAAACAAGTTAATTTAATGAATTTTATCCTATAATATCTTATAAAATTACGAAGTTATGTTTCTTAATGCCAATTTTCAGCCCGTTTTTACCAGACATAATTACTAGTATATGCACCAAAGTCTCTATAATTACTAACAATTATATAGAAATTTTAAATTCAATTTCTTCTAAACATATATTGTCAATTTAAAGTATAATTTAGCAAAAACGAGATATAGAGGCCCTCCACCACCCCCACCAATTTTATCGGGGCCCTTTTTTCTTTGTAAGTATACTCACCCATTAAACAAACGAGCTACTAATAAATTTAGTAGCCCATTTTTGCAAGTAAGTATATCTTTAATTTATTTTTTTATTTTTATGTCTATAATTATTTTATTGTATTTCGCTAATGAAATTGCAATAACTTTTTTAATATTATTCTTTGTATTATTCCTTAATACAATTCGACATTACAATTATAATAATTATTTAAAATACAATAATCAATGCTGTTCAAAATATAAAAAAAGTAATAATATAGGACCATAATTAAAAAAATTTAGTAATGCGAGATAATACGAAAACGTCGAAAATATGTACGATCTTAAGATATTGAAACATATTTTTTCTTAAAATATTTTTGTTTTAGAGTTTTACATTTTTGTGTAAAAAAGTACATTTTTCTTATTTTGTTAACTATATTTAGTTGTAACAATTTATATACAATTTGTTATAAATGTACAACTTTACAAATACCTTCTAAAGATGTCAAAATATACGTCAAAATTGTTTAATAATTTTTATATACTTGTAAAAGCTCTGAAAATTAAAGTATATAATTTAAATAAAAAAATTAAAAGAGTTATTTAGTATATTTGTTATTTTAAATAACTACATTTCTGACTTATTTTTTATTTAATATTTTTAATAAGTTTCCGGAACCTATTTTATATTTTTTATTTTAAATAATTTACATGTTAATTTATCGAGCCGTTATCGGCATCATACGTATAAGTTTATAGAATTTCAGAAACACAGAATAATTTGCAGTAATAGTAGCGTCTTAAATTAATTTATTAACTGAAAAATTAAATAATGATCATTATTATAGACAAGATATTTAGTACTTTTAGCCGAAGCTGTATCTAGCACAAATTGTTTCACGATATTAAGGAAATGTGTCTTTATATAAAGAACATAGAATATTCTATCAACCTTCATTTAAATATGAATCATTAAAAGGAATAATAAAAATTGAGACACAATGTTGGAATATCAAAAATATCCCAAGAGAATAATTATTAATTACGTTTAAAAGAACCATGCAAGAAATATATATAAAGAACATATATTCTATCAACCTTTATTTAAATATGAATCATTAAAAGGAATAATAAAAATTGAAACATAATGTTGGAATATCAAAAATACCCCACGCGAATAATTATTAATTACGTTTCAAAGAACCATGCAAGTAATATATATTACTGGTTCTTTGAAACGTAATTAATAATTATTCGCGTGGGGTATTTTTGATATTCCAACATTATGTTTCAATTTTTATTATTCCTTTTAATGATTCATATTTAAATAAAGGTTGATAGAATATTCTATATACGTTCCTTAATGATACATGCAAATTTTCTTAATATCGTAAAATAATTTGTGCTAATTACAGCTTTGGCTAAAAGTACTAAATATCTTGTTAATCATTACTTAATTTTTCAGTTAATAAATTAATTTAAGGCACAACAGTTACTGCAAATTATCTGTGTTTCAGAAATTCTTTAAACTTACGTATAATGCCGATCATGGCTCGATAAAATAACATAGGAATTATTAAAAATAAAAAACATAAAATAAGCTTCAGAAATATAATTAAAATACAAAATCGTAGAAATTCGTAAAAAGCAGATACGACTTGTTTAAAATAAAAAATATAAAACAGTTCCCGGAAATTTTTTTATACAAAATATTAAATAAGAAATAAGTCAGAAGTGTAGTTATTTAAAATAATGAATACTACTCGTAAATAACTCTTTTAATTTTTTATTTAAATTGTATACTTTAATTTTCGTCGCTTTTACAAGTATATAAACATTTTTTAATGGTTTTTACGTATATCTTGACATTTTTAAAAAGTATTTGTAAAATTGTATATTTATAATAAAAATTATATATAAATTATTTAACTAAATATAGTTAACAAAATGGGAAGTATGTACTTTTTCATACAAAAATGTAAAACTTTGAAACAAAAAATTTAAAGGAAAAGTATGTTTCAATAACTTAAAGTTGATATTTTTGTTTCAGAGTTTTACATTTTTGTATGAAAAAGTACATACTTCCCATTTTGTTAACTATATTTAGTTATAACAATTTATATATAATTTGAAATAAATATACAACTTTACAAATACTTTCTAAAGATGTCAAGATACACGTAAGAACCATTAAAAAATTTTTATATATTCGTAAAAGTGACGAAAATTAAAGTATACAATTTAAATAAAAAATTAAAAGAATTATTTATACGAGTAGTATTCATTATTTTAAATAACTACACTTCTGACTTATTTTTTTTATTTAATATTTTATATAAAAAAACTTCCGGAAACTATTTTATATTTTTTATTTTAAACAAGTCGTATCTGATTTTTAGCAATTTCTACGATTTTGTATTTTAATTATGTTTCTGAAACTTATTTTATGTTTTTTATTTTTAACAATTCGTATGTTATTTTATCAATCCATGATCGTGAGTTTAAAGAATTTCTAAAACACAGGTAATTTGCAGTAACAGTAGTGTCTTAAATTAATTTATTAACTGAAAAATTAAATACTGATTAACAAGATATTTAATACTTTTAGCCAAAGCTGTAACTAGCACAAATTATTTTACGATATTCAGGAAATGTGCATGTATCTTTAAGGAACTTGTATAGAATATTCTATCAACCTTTACTTAAATATGAACACACGCATTGTTTTACGCACGATCAATTCCGCGTCGTTGTCCCGAACAAGCATCGCAAACACTTGTCGCACTCGCGCGTTTGAATTGACGAAATTGACGACGAAAGACGCTATACGTTTGCGAGAGCAGCCGTGCTACGAGTCGCGTGAAACCCGTAAAAATCGTCACAACGCGCGGAATTTTCGCGGAATGGACTGTATGACTACTGCC